TAAGTTAAACAGAAAACAGCACATGTTTATATCATCATCCGGAACAAAATAATCTGCTTGTAGTTATTGCATTGAGATACATATATATTTTACCTGAACCTGAAATAAAACTCCATTTGTGTTGCACTGAAAGACATGAACTTCAATTTACTAATATACCATACAAGAACCTTACCTCTCTCTGAAAAACAAACACTACACCACCTCCATAAACGACAATTCAAATGTTAGTTATGGCTACCTTTAATACAACCTAGACACTGTAAGCTAAAATACCCTAACCTTTCGCCTAATATTAATACAAGTCTTGATTTATCTTGGTACGTGACGTTACCACCGCGAGGTTTCCAGTACCACTAAAGGGTCAGCAATGTTAGTAAGATACAAGCAGGGATATAAAATTGCTCCCAGACAAATCAATGCTCAGGAATAAAAAAAAAACAATTCGATGTAAATTTATGAATGATACCGTTACATTCATTTCAAAGTGACGTTAAACAATTTACTACTGGATCTTTAACTGTTAATGTTCATATTTCAAAACAGTTCTCTATTACTGTATATTGATTCCTAGCATCTCTAAAATTAACAAAATGTGTACTTACCTTGTGCTGAAGTCTGAACCTGTAAAAACATAAACTAGTGTTAGATAAAGTACAAGGATTTAAATCAACCTCTTTAAAATGCAGTATTTGAGAAATAAGTTTTGATTTCGAGGAATTTTATTTTCCGGAAGTACTAAAAACCTACAATATTTCGTATTGGATAAACTGGTGTAGCAATGTGCTTAGAAAAAACGATTTAGAACTTATTATGAACAAAGCCTTACGTTTCCCTCGGAGAGCAGCGCCCAGTTCCTAACTAACCATAACGGTGAACAGCTGATTTGTTGTCATTCACTGGAGTGATGAACGAGCGACTCCAACGAATAAAAAAAAAAAAATGCCGAAAATAGTGGTAACAATTTCACCTAGACAATATTACATCATTTAGGTTAAGTAGGTGAATTTGGTTCATTTTATAATACAGCAGTTTCGGATCTTTTCGGTTTGACGAACTGCATTTATTTTTCATAAAAACATTTTTTTGGCGTAGTTATACAGTCTAATTCCGAAAATATATACATACGTATGTTTTTTTTTGAGAAATACTAAACAAACACTTGAAAACCTTACCTAACCTCCCCTAACCTATTAAAAAGGTTAAGATTCATTTTCGAAAACATCACATACTAAACACCGAAAACATCACAATGGCTATCCACTTACCTCTACTCAGAAACATATATATTTCTTATTTTATAATTTTAAGTACTTTCTACTAGTTTCTCCAAAAAATATAGATATTATCGAAATTAGAATGTAAAACTACAATACGTCAGATTATTGTGTTTGTATTAAAAAAATTACAGTTCACCAACGGAAAACACCAGCACTATCTACTTACTACTTCGTAGTTCCTGTCTCGTCGAATGTCAACAACCACGCTCGTGATTTACGCCCATTAAACACAAGGTTACCGAAGAATAGCTTATTCATATATGAACCAAGGTAGTTACCATTCTTACTATATCACCCAGCGACACACCGACTACAACGTAGTAGCAAGTTGCGTCTTCTAAACACATTTCGTGAAATAAATATATGGTAATAGGTTAGGTATGGCCAGGTGTCCAGGTTACCCAGCTAGCTATTCAACGAAAAAAAAATAAATCAGGTAGAGAAATCACCGTGTTTGGGCAGCCTCTGTTGAGAAACGGAAAGTTCCCAGACAGCAACCGACTGAACTTTCTTTCCATACAAAACTAACCTAAAATAATAATAATAATAATATAATTTCATCCTTGGATAGGTAGCTTTGGTTAAGTTTTCTTGTTTATCTTATCTATGATAAACCATACTACAGTACAGTATAATGTAATACTAACATACGCTGGAAGTGTTCGTGTGAATGTAAACTTGTAGACAACGCTACCACTTGGAAGCCGCGGAGTTTGTGCATCGCCAAACATCTTATGACACATTGTAACACATGGTGACACCTTGACAAATATTGACATCTTGACACATATTGACACCTTGACACATGACAAACTGTGACACCTTACACATTACAGTACAAGTACAGTTACTCTTATTCAGCTTGGCGACGAACCAGGCGACGATACTTAAACAATATTACATCATTTAGGTTAGGTAGGTTAGTTTGGTTCATTTTATGAAGGATAAATTTTATAATATAGCAGCTGTCTAGAACTTTATATACAGTATCCAACAAGTGGATTAAGTTACCTCATGTTGATTTTAAATGATTTATTGTTGATAGCTTTATGTATGCAAATTAAGTTAATATTTTGCTTTGGAGTCCATGATTTAATTTACAAACGTAAGCTTTAAGACTACCAAGATTAATTAAATGTAAAAAAATACAAATTTGTCATGGTATAGGTGTGGTTCATTGTAAAAAGTTTGTATACTCACCGAAGCTGGTTAATGGCGTCACAAAGCGTCAACAACTGTTTCACACTTAACTCACTCAAATGATCTTTATTTTTGCTATACAATGACACTTATACACTGAACACTCAAAATGATTAGCAATGTACAAAAAATCAATAGTTTTCATTAACAAATTTAAGTTGACAAAATGCGGAGTTTGTTTACAACGACCACTGGATCACTTGCGGGATAACACATCATTATCTAGTAACGAGGTTCTGTTTCTTCTACAGCATAAATCTCAATTAGAAAGTTTGTACAAAGAATCTTCCAGCATATCTGTTTAAAGAAAATGTCGTAGCAACCCTTATTACAAGTAAAATCAGACGAAAATGTTGCCTTCCACAGACACTCACGAACACTCAACACTAAAGTTTTACTGCAGTGTTCTCAGAAAAAAATTCTCGGTCCACCAACGTCTGGAAAAAATAGCCAAATTCCCGCCATGTAACATAGGGAAGTTAACTATATATAATATACACTTATCTGCTTCAAAGCTTTCACATTTATCACTTATTTCGCCTATTTTTATTGAAAAGCGAATGCGAAGCGCATATCTGTTTTCAGAAGGTTTACTTGGCTGAATACGTACGTAACCACATTTTTTTTAGAGAAAAAAGTGAGGGAAATATTAGAATATTTTCAGACAGTTATTTAATTGAATCATAACATCAAAATCCTCATGATTACCGCAGGTGTACCAAGTATACAGCGTCTGACAGAGCTTAGGGTGGAATGACATAACGAAAACTTAACACGGCCATGCTCAAAGTACTGGGGCTCAGTTTACTTTTAAACATTAGTGATTTTTTCGTTTAATACTAGAAAATTTTATTTTAAACAGGCCAAAAAACATCTAACACGCCAACATTAAAATATCCCCACCAAACTTGGAAAAAGGGAGTTAAAGTTGGTGGTAAACTGCCTGTCTGGGAACACTGTTTGACAGACTGCCTTTTTATCGAGATTACTAATTTAACATTTGAAGCTTATATTATGTTTGAATATATAGTAAAATAAGTAAAAATTAATATGGAAACATAAATGAAGGAAATTTTTCAGATCTTCTATGTATTGTGTGGTAACTAATATTTAATATATCAAAGAAACATTACGGTACATTCCATACATCTTTAGAAAGTCATAAATCACTAGGTCATGAATTTGTTTAATCCTGTTGTATCATTCGCTTTTACTTATTGTTTATTGTTTACATAAAATATTAAAAAAATAAGATTATACTGTCCTGAAAAAGAAAAGAAAATAAAGACTGAAATCTTCATTGAAACAGAAGATACGCAGATCAGCTGCTATGGCTTTCTGAAATATACTCAATTATTTCCTGATCCTGGACGACCCCTGATGGAATCTAAACAATAATTCATACTCTTAAAACACTTACTTATCGCATCGCATCGTTTAATAAGTCAGTCGCCTTACTAAATGGGTTGTGACGTGTACAGTAATTTGTATAAACACGAAGAGTTTCATATGGATGTGACATTATTAATATCATTAGTATTATCAGCAACAGTAGTAGTAATATTATAGGTATAAATTTAATTGAATTAGGCTGCGGTTCACTGGACGATCAAAAAGACATCATATGAGAACTGCTAGGTAATGACTTTCTTAAGATGTACAATATGTTCCCATAATTTTTCTGCTAGATTAAATATATATTACTGCAAATATATATATATCCATACACTCTTTTATTAATCTTCCTCTTCTTTAGTATATCAATAGTGGAACACAAACTTCAGATGATAAAATTACTAATTAACAGTTTAGCAACACAAGTTTTTCAGAACACTTAAGTGGTTTTTTTTTATCCGTCAGTGTCGTGTGAGTCAGGCAACAGTAGTGAGACTTACTGTACAAACATAAAGTACTTAATGATACAAATACCAATACTTGACAATGAAAATTTTTTTTGATACGTTAAGTAATATAAAGAGTGTAATTTTAAGTCGTGTGAAGTGAAAGTTATCGGGATGTGAACCCAAAACGTCACCAGGAACGCCGTTTCTGTGAGTACATTAACTATTTTACCAGCACAAATACCATGGCAAATGTGTCATCATATTTTCCTACTATTTAATGATGATTATGTCTTTCATAGAGTTAAACGCAAGGATTAGAGGGATTTAGAGGTACTGTTCTCTATATTTTATGTGTACAGTACAGTTCGGATTTGTTTATAGAAGAAAAATTCATTCTTACCTCTTAGTTTTTTCCTCAGTACAAATACCCTTTTTTTCGTACACATAAATATAAGTTTTTTCACGTCATCGCAGAAGCAAACACAATACAATAATCTTTTTATCAGTTTAACTCGGATGTAAACTATTTTTTTTAGTCTCTTCCGCTCAAAGATGTGATTCTTGGACAGTAATATACTAACTTTTCTTCGCCTAATACCGGCAGTTTTTAAGTTCAACATAAATGCATTCCATGTTTTAATATTTTTTTTATTTTAGAGAAAAATTACATCACAACAATTCCTCAGTCGAACTCTTTAAGTGAACAAAAAGACGCGTGAAGAATATCGTTAATCAGGTGAACAAAAAACCCGTGTGAGGTTGATAGGTGAAGGATATCGTTAATCAGGTGAACAAAAAACCCGTGTGAGGTTGATAGGTGAGGATATCGTTAATCAGGTGAACAAAAAACCCGTGTGAGGTTGATAGGTGAGGATATCGTTAACCAGGTGAACAAAAAACCCGTGTGAGGTTGATAGGTGAAGGATATCGTTAATCAGGTGAACAAAAAACCCGTGTGAGGTTGATAGGTGAAGGATATCGTTAATCAGGTGAACAAAAAACCCGTGTGAGGTTGATAGGTGAAGGATATCGTTAATCAGGTGAACAAAAAACCCGTGTGAGGTTGATAGGTGAAGGATATCGTTAATCAGGTGAACAAAAAACCCGTGTGAGGTTGATAGGTGAAGGGTAATAGTCAGGTGAACTAGGAGGAACGTGAGGATGATAGGTAAATTTAGAAGAAATGAGAGCGGCGTGAGGCGTACTGGTAGATGGCTGGGCAGTAGGTTCTGGCAGCCACATCGTAAATGCTGTCACCCCCCACAAACATGGGATTGTTGTGGTTGGCTTTATTCCAGGTGTGTAGGAGCAGGGACGATTTAAATTCCTGTAAACAAAAATAATAAACAGCTGGAAGGTTAAAGTCCCGTAAACAAAAGTAATAAACAGCTGTAAGGTTAAAGTCCCGTAAACAAAAGTAATAAACAGCTGTAAGGTTAAAGTCCCGTAAATAAAAAGTAATAAACATCTGTAAGGTTTTAAAGTTCCGTGACTAAAAACAAAACAAAACACTTGCTTGCGGTCTCCTCTAAAGTGTTAATTAAAGATATCTCTGTTTTTATTATCATTGTAATAGAACTACTGTAATTCTGTAAATGTCTTCGAAAGTTTGTAAGATAGAGGAAATGGTAATGTGGGAGGGAGGAGGTGTGAGGTGAAGCCGCAGTGTTGCCGTTTGCTCCGTATGTTATTTTGTCACGCTTTATATTAGAGAAAATTTTGAAGTTTTAGGGGTAACTTGAATTATTTTACATGAGACTGTGAACGGCGGAATGGAAACAAAACTCTGCTTAGTTGATTTTATATTTCTAAACAAGTTTGTAAGAAATACATAAATGCAATATATACATTCGATAAAGTAGAAAAAAGTATATGGTTTCTAAAATGTCATATGGGACTACAAATTTATATTAATATTTTTACCCAATTTATCAAGTCTTCGCTAGGTTTAAAATTCGCACAGCCTCCTTTGTTTTATGTACCATTTCAACAGAGTTCTATCTTATAATTGTCATAATTTTTATCGTTGTTGGACTAGTGTATTACTAACCTTACTACGTGCTTAAAGACCTTCGTTGTTGATGCGTAGTAATGACATGATAACAATAACAACCATTTCAGATATAATAATTAGTGATGCTATGGTAGTTGTCAAGAGTATGTGTCTGGTCTTTGTTTTAATAAGATTAACCTTTGAGAATATTTGTTCACCATCTACGTTTGGTGTTGGTAATGACAGGATAGTTCGAGGAAATATTGGCAGTGTTGTGAAATAAGGATCATCAAATTCGTTGGTCGAGGTAGAGTCTCCCTTAACCTAACCTAACCTAACCTAACCTAACCTAACCTAACCTAACCTACAAAACGGATCACATTTTATGTTTCGGGTCAGTCAGTGGGAATCGTTTATTTCATTCGCTTACAAGATGTTACCAGGAACTGTGGACACCATACTCTTACCTATTGGATCATACTTACCTTGTGCTTTACCTTGTGCCTTTACTCTGATGAATGAAGAAGCCTGTGTATATATGCTCCCGGATATTTGGTACAGTATTGTCCTCTGGATTAACGATGGTTATGGACGTTACTTTGCTTACTTCCTCCCGTTATATATATCCTCTTCATGAGTCAATAAGTCATAAAATTATCGTATCAACATCTGTATTACGCGGTCCAATAGTCTCACCTAGAGGAAGTAGTACTCCCAAAAACCTTCAGACTTGTTAATGAATGATTCTAGTGCTACTTTCAGACTATCATGAGGAATACTCGTGTATAAAGAACTGAAGATATACGTGTTAACTGAGCTCGCGTGTTGTTTCTCGTTAATTTGTTTGGATAATTTCTAACACTATTATTATCGATCACCTGCCATCTTATCGTCCCAGTGAATTAATCATTAACTTAGCAATATATATTTTTTTCTGTCCTTCATTACTGGGTTTAGAGATTTGCCTATTAAACCTGCTAGTTATTCAGTAGTGCACATGGAGGAATTTAGCAAGTCACACACACACACACACACACACACATCACTTCAGCCTTAATTAATACCTACCTGATGAAGTGTCTTGCCTCTGTTAGCCACAAAGTACTCTTGGTAGTGTCGGTAGTGTATAGGGAAGAAATAATGCTCGGGGTAAAGGGTGACGTTGCCACAGGTGTAAGGTACCTTGGAGTGGAATTTCTCGGATCTTTTCACTTGACACTCTCGCTTCATGACCGCCGTGATAGCTGGGGGTCCGATTTTGGCCCAGACAGTCGGCTGTGTAAGAGGGGGGTGATGAGTTACGACAATACAACAAAAATAACAGCGAACACGAACTACAACACAAAAACCTGAACATAAACAACAACACAAAAACAAAACCAAAATAAAAATAATAACAAAAACAACAATAACAACCATATATTAGGGATTGCGTTTTATAAATATGTTCGTGATTAATCAAGATAAAACAAGTAATGGAAACTGCCACTAAACACCGCCAATAAATGAATCAGATGAAGGTAAAGGATAATGAAGACTTTATCTACACCTAACAGACGTGTCAACTTAAAGGGGATCACACTAACTTGTTCCGTTGATAAACACCGTTGAAACTGTTTTAGCGTCAGACAGTAATTTGGTGTTTTCATCGACACTGATCACACACGCAAAAGACCGTTTCAGCAACCAAACAATAATGGCAACCACGTATGTGAATGCTGCCCAGCGGCTATCACTGCCTTAATAATATACACAGTTCATTTAAAGGTAGTTTAACACGTGTGGGTATGTTCCTGGCTGGCAACAAGAGACAGCAAGAATGTTTATCATAATCTATACAAGAGGTCGGGCTGGAAGACCCACCACCAGTCTATGATTATCATCACTTGAGCAAGGCCAAGTTTGAGGAATTAATATTAAGTGATGCCACTCAGCGAAAAATCCATCGACTTGAAAATCACACATTCCCCCATCGCCGTTTCGTTGTGTCAAATGAGGTTCTCGTCGTGATTTCTATTTGAGCAATACTTTTATAATCATAATTTTAGCATGTTGTTCATACATGTAATACAGACAATATATTTCAAACTAAAGGAAATTTCTGGCATAAGTGAGGATAATTTGTAAAGGATATATTCTGAAATGATACTTAAGAATTTCAAAGTTGTCTGAATTTACAACTTTCGACTGTGAGAATCGTTGACTATTCTGAGCTTCAACTATCGCCGTGGCCATGTTGTGTGACAAGTTAATATTTGTTATGCGTGACCGCGCCTCAAGACTACTGAACTCATATCCAACTTAACTTACACTGAAGCTTTGGGTAATTTCAACCATTAATTTATGCATCACAATATGGCGTGGCTCAAACTTGAAGAAGCCATTGGCGAGGCGGCCTGGTTGTATATAGCCGAGAGTGTTGTTGAAGAGGGCCATGTTTCTCATACAGATAACGTCAGTGTCGCTGTAAATTCCACCCCATCGCCACACCACCGCTACCCTCATCATATCGCTCACGTGATATTGAAGCCAGTCTGTAAAGCCACCCAGTCAGTCCTTAGCGTCTCTATGCCTATGGGATACTAGCTTTTTTGTGTGTATTTTGTTGTTATGAGTCTCAAATACCTGTGATTATGATGTCGGTAGTTAGTGCAGTGGAGTGTGTGGTGTAGTGGAGTGTGTGGTGTAGTGGAGTGTGTGGTGTAGTGGAGTGTGTGGTGTAGTGGAGTGTGTGGTGTAGAGGAGTGTGTGGTGTAGTGAAGTGTGTGGTGTAGAGGAGTGTGTGGTGTAGTGTGTGGGTGGTGGAGTGTGTGGTGTAGTGGAGGTGGGTAGGTGGGTGTGTGGTGTAAGGGAGGTGTGGTGTAGAGGAGTGGTGTAGGAGTGTGGTGTGGGAGGTGTGGGGTGGTGAGTGTGTGTAGAGGGGAGTGGGGGTGTAGGAGGGGTGGGGAGGAGGTGGGAGGGTGTAGAGGAGTGGTGGTGTGGAGTGTGTGGTGGGGAGTGTGTGGGTGTAGTGAGTGTGTGGTGTAGGGAGGTGGTGTAGTGAAGTGTGTAGTGGAGTGTGGGGAGTGGGAGGGGTGTGGAGGTGGAGGTGTGGTGTAGTGGAGGTGTGGTGGGAGGTAGTAGTGTGTGTGTAGTGGAGGTAGTGGAGGTGTGGTGTAGAGGAGTGTGTGGTAGTGGGAGGTGTAGTGGAGGTGTGGTAGTGGAGTGTGGGTGTAGTGGAGGTGGTAGTGGAATGTGTGTAGGAGTGAGGTGTAGTGAGTGTGTGGGAGTGTGTGTGGGAGTGTGTGGTGGAGTGTGAGGTGTGGGGAGGTGTGGTAGAGTGGAGTGTGTGTGTGGTGGGTGTGTGGTGTAGTGAGTGTGGTGGTGGAGGGGGGTGGTGGGGAGGTGTGGGAGTGTGTGGTGTAGTGGAGTGTGTGTGTAGAGGAGTGTGGGTAGTGGAGTGTGGGGAGTGTGGTGGAGTGTGGTGTAGTGGAGTGTGGTGGGGAGGAGGTGTGGTGTAGAGGAGTGTGTGGTGTAGGAGTGTGGTGTAGAGTGTGTGGTGGGGAGTGTGTGAGGTGTAGGAGGTGGTGTAGAGGAGGTGTGGTGTAGTGGAGTGTGTGGTGTAGAGGGGGTGTAGAGGAGTGTGTGGTGTGGGGATGTGGTGTAGTGGAGTGTGTGGTGTAGAGTGGGAGTGTGTGTGTGTGGAGGTGTGGGGTGGTGGTGGGAGTGTGTGTAGTGGGTGTGGTGTAGTGGAGTGGTGGGTAGTGGATGTGTGGGGTGCAGTGAGGTGTGGTGTAGGGGAGGTGGGTGGGTGGGGTGTGGTGGCGTGTGGGTGTAGGGTGTGGTGGTGAAAATTGTGTAGTATAACAAACTGTAACAATCACTTATCAATAAACATGATAACAGCTGATCATAATTAATAACTTTTGCACCTTCCCACTGTAAATTGTTCTCGGTGGTAATAACCTTTCATCTCTGTTGAATCAAGTGAACTTATATATCCAGTACAGTATAAGTACAAACATATATTATGGAAATGTTTTATACTAACCAGTGCTGTGTTTATCGTCCATATCTTTGACTGAAAGTATGATGTAGTGGTGTCTCCTGAAATATGTCGTCCAGGTTTATTCTCACAAGGTGCAGGTTGGGGTATTGGCTCACTAGACGAGAGAAGCCATCAGTATTGTCCACTGTCAGCGAGATCAGCACGAACCATTTCGTCCATGGTGGGTTCTGTCGGCCTGAGCTGACCAAGTGAAACAACACGTTCATATATTATTATCATCTGTAACTCTAATGTAGTATACACACACACACACACACACACACACACACACACACACACACACACACACACACACACACACACCACACATCCACTCACACACACACACACACACACACACATCCCTGAGAATATTATTCCCAGATCAACAAACCCCAATAAAGCAAGGCATGGCACCTACCCCACCCACCCCTACTACCCCCACCCCACACCTCACTCACCCCACCCACCACCCAATTCCACCCCACCCCACCCCACCTCTCACCCCACCTGTTAATCAGATACAAGAGCATGAAAACACACAACAAACATGACTCTCCAATAAAGGAAAAACACAAAAAAACACTGCTATCTGTGTCTGTATTTGCTGCCGTGTAGACCAAGAGAGAGAGAGAGAGAGAGAGAGAGAGAGAGAGAGAGTCAACAAGAATTGGAAGAACACCACACACACAAGCTTCAACCGAACACCACTCCTCACCTCTCAACAGAACACCACCTCACCTCTCAACAGAACACCACTATCACCTTCAACAGAACACCACCTCACCAACAGAACACCACCTCACCTCCAACAGAACACACCACTCATCACCACCATCACCAACAGAACACCACTCATCACCTCAACAGAACACCACCTCACCTCAACAGAACAACACCTCAACAGAACACACCATCACCTCTCAACCGAACACACCACCACCTCTCAACAGAACACCACCCTCACCTCTCAACAACACTCACCTCAACAGAACACCAATCACCTCACAACAGAACACCACTCACCTCTCAACAGAACACCACTCACTCTCAACAGAACAACACTACCTCAACAGAACACCACCTACCTCTCAACAGAACACCACCCTTCTCAACATACACCACCCACCTCTCAACAGAACAACATCACCAACAGAACAACACTCACCTCAACAGAACACCACCACCTCTCAACAGAACACCACTCACCTCCAACAGAACAACACTCACCTCTCAACAGAACACACCACCCCTCACAACAGAACACCACTCTCACCTCTCAACAGAACACCACTACCTCTCAACAGAACACCACTCACTCAACAGAACACCACCACTCCTGAACACCACCACCTCAACAGAACAACACTCACTCTCAACAGAACACCACTCACACTCTCACAGAACACCACTCTCACCTCTCAACAGAACACCACCATCAATTCTCAACAGAACACCACTCCTCACACCCACCAACAGATCAAGACTCACCTCAACAGAACACCAATCACCTCAACAGAACAATCTCAACAGAACACCACTCACCTCAACAACAACACTCACCTCAACAGAACACCACTCTCAACAGAACACCACTCCACCTCCTCAACAGAGAACACCACCTCTCAACAGAACACCACCACCTTCAACAGAACACCACTCACCTCTCAACAGAACACCACTACCTAACAACACCACTCCACCCTCAACAGAACACCAACCACCTCTCAGCAGAACACCACCACCTCAACAGAACACCAATCACCTCTCAACAGAACACCACTCACCTCTCCAACAGAACACCACCACCAACAGAACAACACTCACCTCTCAACAGAACAACACTCACCTCTCAACAGAACACCATCACCTCTCAACATAACACCACTCACCTCTCAACAGAACACCACTCACCTCGAACAATCTACCACCTCTCAACATAACACCACTCACCTCAACAGAACACCACTCACCCTCAACAGAACAACACCACTCTCCTCAACAGGAACACCACTCACCTCTCAACAGAACACCACTCACCTCTCAACAGAACACCACTCACCTCTCAACAGAACACCAGGAACGGTACAACGGACTACCATTGCAGTCTATGTCGATTAAAAACACGTTATTTTGTCCTTTTGGCGTTATATCCCTGCAACACAAGACAGGTGTTAGTCTTCCTGCAACACAAGACAGGTGTTAGTTTTCCTGCAACACAAGACAGGTGTTAGTCTTCCTGCAACACAAGACAGGTGTTAGTTTTCCTGCAACACAAGACAGGTGTTAGTTTTCCCAGCAACATGTAAGACAGGTGTTAGTTTTCCTGCAACACAAGACAGGTGTTTAGTCTTCCTGCAACACAAGACAGGTGTGTTATCTTCCTGCAAACAAAGAGATAGTTTAGTCTCCCTGCAACACATGCACCCTCAGTATTACCTGAGCAGCTGCTGCAAAATGATGTAGTCAGGGAGTTGTTGAGGCCGTGCAGCTGGTCGTGTTGCACAGCTGCTGCCGCCACCAGTGTACTTCTTCCAGCTCTAATGACTCTGGTGAACAATAAACTGTTATGTTATTATGTTCATGGGGCAACACTACACCCCTCCGCTGTACTCTGTACTGTGCACCTCACTGTGCAGCAGCACCCACCACTCCCCCCCCTGGCCAGCACCAACACTGTGCCCACCCCCCCTGTGCAGCACACCACTCCCACTGTCACCCTCACTGTGTGCACCGTCCCACACTGTACACCCTCACTGTGCCAGCACCGTCACTGTACCCCCACTGTGCTTGCCACTCCCACTGTACACCCTCACTGTGCAGCACAAATCACTGTACACCCCACTGTGCATGCCACTCCACTGTGCACCCTCACTGTGCAGCACCGTCCACTGTACCACCCCCACTGTTTCCACTGTGCCCTCAATTACTTGACCAACACTAATGCACCCCACTGTGCAGCACGCCACTCCTGTCACCCTCACTGTGCAGCGCCACCTCCTGTACCCGCCCCACTGTGCCTTTGCAAATCCACTGTACACCCTCACCCATGCCAGCACCGTCCGCTGTACACCACCACTGTGCAGCTTCCTCCACTGTACACTGCTGTGCAGCACCCACCACTGTACACCCTCACTGGTGCAGCACCCACCATATTGCACCCTCGCACAATGCGGCACGCCCTCCTGTGCTGCCCCCGCAGTGGCACCTCCGCTGTACGCACCCCCCACTGTGCGGCCACCGCTGTGCCCTCGCGTGCGGCGCCACTCCACGCCTGTGCACCCACTCGCTTGTGCAGCGCCCACCATATTGCACCCCGCTGATTACGCCATCCGCCATTGCCGCCCCGCTGTGCGACGCCGCCACTCAATGCGCCCTCGCTTAATTGCCCGGCGCCACCGCTTTTCAATGCCCCCACCCCCCGCTGTGCGGCGCCCACCACTGTACACCCCCACTGATGCCGGCACCCGCCGCCATGCACCCCACTTTCGTGCGGCACCC